ATTTTTCTCTTCAAAATGCCCCGTTGGGCAGTTTCTCTTGACGTGAGGCAGAGTCACATGACAAAGGGCAGATATTCTCTCAGGAGATGGGGGGACCATTTTGATCCCAGGAAAAGCAATTGGCTCCAAGAAGCTAGGTGCAAGAGGGTGGGGGTGGGGCGGCTTAAAGGCAGGAGAAGAGAAAGAAGTATAGAAGACCAGCCAGTCACTGGGTAATTTTCACATGATTGAGGGAGCCATGCATTCTGCCTTTACTACGACCGACCCACCGATGCCAGCTTACTTCCGGCCTGGCTGCCAAGCATTTGGCCCTCCACCCACCTGCAAGGTGCCCTGGTAGCATAGTGAGTGAGGCTGCTGACCGCAAGTCCAGCAGTTGGATGAGGCTCTCTGCTCTGGTAAAGATTTCCATCCTCAAATATGCACAGGGGCAGTTCTGTTCTGTTCCATAGGATCTTGATGAGTCTGAATCAACTCAGCGGCAGTGAGTCCCACTGGCCCCCAAGAGACTCTTGGAGATTTAAGCTTAGGAAGGCGTGGTTTGACAGCTGGAACCCTCGTGGCACAGTGAGTTAAACAATGGGCTGCTAGTCAAATAGATCTGTGGTTCAAGCCCACCAGCCACATCTCCGGAGAACCAGGTAGCACTGCTTCGGTAAAGATGGGAGCCTTGGATATGTCACAGCGGGCCGTTCGGCTCTGTCCTGTAGGGTCACGGTGAGTTGCAGTCAACTTGGTGGCAGTGGGTCTGTTGAGGAATTCTCCTTTTCTGGAAGGACAAGGCGCATGCACATGGGTAGAGAGCAGTTTCTGGCAGGCTTTTATGGTTAACCTTTGGGCTTAAGAATAAAACCAGGATGTCTCATTCATCTTCCTCTTTCTCTTCGGTCCTCGACACCCCTCGGTCCCCCAGGCAGACACCCCTCGGTCCCCCAGGCAGCACGAGAAGGGTAGGCATGTGCCCCTTCAGCAGGAGGACTGGTGGGTGTGTGTGTCTCCCTGGGGAAGTCTGTGGGGTGAGGGTGGAAAGTTGAGGGGGTTCCCTACGGGGCTTTCTGTTCTCTCTGAAAAGTGGTCCATGAGTCATGTTTTGGAAGTGGGACTTGCTAGTTCCCAGGTGATTGAAGGTGGGGAACTTTCCAAATTCCTACGTGGGGTTTGGAGAACCATCAGCTGATTGTTGGGACAAGCTGAGAGGCCAGTCCGGCCAGGGCACCTTGGGTGGTCCACCCTAGTGCCTGGCTGCTGCCTGAAATGTTGCGAGTTCAAACCCATCCAGCTGGCAACAGGCTCCGTGAAGGTTACCACCTAGAAGTCCCTCTGGGGTGGTACTGCTGCCGCACAGTGTCACTAGAAATCAACACACTGGCACCTACCCACAGCTGCACACACATAACAGAGGCCGGGGGGTGAGTGGGCGGTACTTCTTGCCTCTGTGCAGAAGACCTGGGGTCAATTCTTGGCTGATGCACCTGAAGCCCAAGCTTAGTTATGTCCTTATGGATTTTAGAAGCGCTCCTAGACTAAGACTAGGAAGAAAGGCCTGGCAATCTATTTCTGGAAACCAGCTACTGTTCTGATCCATAGAGCAACATCACGGCGCCTGCTTCAAATCACAGCAGAATGGGTGTGTGAAGGGGCCCAGCCCTGTACCCGGAGCCCAGGTGGTGTTGGGGAGGAGGCTTTCTGCTCTCATAAAGAGTTGTCGTCAGGGGCCATCAAGTTGGTTCCGACCCATAGCAACCTTATGCAGAGAAGGAAGCCCTGCCTGGCCCTGCGCCATCTTCACAGTTGTCCTGTGCTTGAGAGCATTGTTGCAGACACGGTGACAGTCCATTTTCCTGAAGGCCTTTCTCTTTTCCGTGGCCCCTCTACTTTACCAAGCTTGATACCCATCTCCACGGGCTGCGTAAAGAGTCACAGCCTTGGAAATCCACAGGAGCAACTCAAGTCTGCCCTGTTGGGCTCCCCACAGCCTCGTTCCGGTGTCTCAGGAACCCCAGGGGGCTCAGGGAGGGATGGGGCTGTGGCAGAACAAGCTGACAGCTTGCTGATTTCTCTGGTCTTGAGGTAGCACGCAGAACAGAGCTGTGCAGTGGGCTGTTTGCCTACTTGGTGTCTCTTCCAAGTCCCCTCTCCCTCTCGGTTCAAAGTACTTACCGTGGATGCAGGCAGAGGGAATGCCCCTGGCAATGGCGGTGGGCAGGCCAGTTTATCCTTGTGAAGGAGTGGCTCTGAGCCCATTGTGATTGGTTTCGGCACCGACCCCAGCTGGCTTGGCCTGCTGCTGCAGCTGTTGCTCCTCAGAGTGGACGAAATACCAGGCCGGGGCCAGAGGCCCTGCTTCCCTCATTAGAACCACTAAGCTGTGTTGGGCACCTGGCAGCTGGCACTGGGCATGACCCCCTGCCTGCTCAGAGGAGCCCCAACCTCACACGTGGTGTCCCTGAGTGAGTATCCATCAGGCCCTTGTTGGAAACAGAGGCCTGTAAAGAGGGTGTCAGGCGCACTGGTTTTCTGTTTTCTAACTCTGCCAGCCAGCAGGGGGTTGGGGTGGTGGTGGTGGTATGTTAGGTTTTCTGTCTCAGCAAGCCCCATATTTCCCCTGTTACCATCTTCCATGGGAGAGAAAAGGGGCTTTCTACTCCTGTAAACGGTTTCAGTCTTGGAAACCCACAGAAACCTCTGTCCTATAGAGTCACTGTGAGCGAGCATCGATTCATGGGCAGTGAGCGAGGCAATCTGCTGTGTTCAAGCAGGTGGGCAGAGGTGGGCAGTGAGCTGAGAGAGCTATTGTCCAAGTAGTTGGACTCTGATTTTTGTTGATGGAACAAATCTATGAGACACAAATGCTTGGGGTTTGATGTTGCTTGATCGTGCAGTGGGTTAGGCGTTGGGCAACTGCAAGGTCAGCAGTTCAAAACCACCAGCTGCTCAAAGGGAGAAAGATGAGCCTTTCTACTCCCATAGTTAGTCTTAGAAACCCACAGGAACAGTTCTACTCCGTCCTATAGGGTCGCTGTGAATTGGAATCAACCTGATGGCCTGGAGGCTGAATAGGCAGAACCCTGGTGATGCTGATATTTAAGCATGTAACTGATAACTACAAGGTCGGTGGTTCACACCCACCAGCCGCTCTGAGGAAGCCACAGCACTGTCTGCTCCTGTAAAGATTCATAGTCATGGGGACCTTGAAGAGAGGGTCGCTATAAGTTAGAATCCAGTTGGTAGCTGTGGGATTGGTTTGGGGCAGAAGCTGGGGAGTGGCTGTGCCCCAGGAAAAGGAAAGTGGATCCCAGCCCAGCCCTCTGTGCCCATCAGGCTTCAGTCTGAAGACAGGGCCACCTTCAGTCTGGTCCTTGCTGTGTGCCGTTGAGTTGATAGCCACTCCTAGAGGCTCCATCTGACAGGGTGACATCCTAGACTGTCATCTCTATAGGAATAGATCACACTTTCGCCCTTGGAGCCACTGCCTGGGGTTGAACTGCTAACCTTTCAGTTTGCAGACCAGTACTTAACCATTTTGCCACCAAGGCTCATTGCCTTATATGTTGGGGGCTTGCACAGCCACCGAGCAGGCTGGAATAACAACGCATGGAGTGCTGCCATCACCCATATGTCTGGGTCACAGCAGGAGGGCCCTGGCCCTGGGCTCACTCAGCCTTCTTCTCAGTTCACAAAGCACGGTGGGTAACGCCCAGGAGAGCTTCTCTCCAGCTCCCACACTTTATCCATAAGCAGCCTGTAGCCTGAAGCCCCCACGGGGAGCAGTGAGGACCCTGGGGCTTTGGGGTCCACCCCCACCCTGTTCCAGGCCTGCAGCTGACAAGGGCTGGGAAGGAAGACCCAGCCTTGTGGGCATGAGAAAGAGGGGGTTTCAGATGCATGGGGGGAGAGGGGAGGTATGCCCTTACCTCCAGCAAGGATCAGGAAGGGATCAGAAGAGCAGACTTGTACAGGTTGTGGGTGAGTGGGGTGGCACCTTCCTAGGGCTCCAATGGAAGGAGCAGGTTAGGAGGGGAGGGGAGAGGTGGGGACAGGGAAGCTGTCTTCCACTGTGTGTGTGTGTGTGTGTGTGTGTGTGTGTGTTAGTTTAGTCTGGTGTGTGTGTGTGTGTGTGTGTGTGTGTGTGAGAGAGAGAGTTAGTTTAGTCTGAGGTCTCAAGGCAAGTGTTTGCTTCCCAGAGAACACATGGCAGTGTCTAGAATCCTGTTACAACTGGAGGTAGGGGGTGGGGGTGGCGCGAGCTAATGACATCTGGTTGGGCTAGGCCAGGAATGCAGCTTAGCACCCTGCAGTGACAGGACAGCCCCCACAGTGGGGAATCATTTGCTCTGACTGTGGATGAGGCCAAGGCTGAGAGCCCTGCCCTTCCCAGGACTGAAGTGGGGAGGCCAGTGTCATTTCACTCAATGACTTGCTGGCTGCCTGGCCCCATGCATCACGACAGTGTGTGTGTGTGTGTGTGTGTCCCAGTAGCTGTATTTGGGGATACTTGCCCACTCCATTTGGTTTTCTGCAGGGGAGCCTTGAGAATTTAGAGGACCCGCTTTTCCGATACCACTGCTGAGAGAGCCCTTGTGGGAACGGTTCAGGGAGCAGTCAGTGAAGGAAAGAGAGACTTCTGCAGTCTTGTCGGGGGACCCCCCCCCCCATAGGTCTATGGCTCAGGTGCGTGTGGTGCGATATGTAGGTGTGAGGAGGCGTCACAAAGCCTGTGGGAAATTTCCCTTAGCTATTCACTCCGTTTCGCAGTGTCCTCTCCGAGGCTGCCTCTTTGCCCCCGCAGCTCAGAGCACGTGGTTCGGAAGCTCCCCTGCGGTTTGCAGTTTTGCGTTGGTGTCCTAGGCAGCTGACAGCCACACGACCATCGCGCCGCACCCTGTCCCCATCCGCCTTCCCTCCTGCAGTAACTTCCTCCAGCGGTGTGACAGGAAAGGGTCACCTCCGGGACGAGCCCTGCTGCCGGCCTGTGTACCCAGCTGCGATTCTTTTTGCAGGGCACGCCACCATCACCAACTACCTGCTGAACTATTTCCCTGGCCTGGACCTGGAGCGGAGGAACGTGTTCGGGTTCACCGCGCTGATGAAAGCCGCCATGCAGGGTCGCAGCGACTGCATCCGCGCCCTGATGCTGGCAGGTGGGTCCCAGCGGCAGCTGGCACTGGGGACCCGCCCTGCTGGAGCCACGCCCCCCGGAGCCCTGCAGATTCCTGCCACCATCCCCCCCTCACTAGAGCCCCGAGCCCGGAAGCGCCCCGCCCCCCACGCACCCTCCAGAGCATACTTGCTCCACCGACTGTATGCCAGCTCTGATGCTGGCCAGTGGGTCCGGACGCAACTTGGACTAGAATCTGTCCCTCCAGAACTACGCCCCTGGCAGAGCCATGCAGCCATGCAAAGCCGGCCCTTGACCCACTTCCTCAGAACCACGCCCCGCCAGAGCCACGCCCCACAGCCAAGCCGGGCTGCATCTGAGCCTCCATGCTGGCAGGTGGATCAGAGCTGCTGTCTCTTCTACTCGGGCCTGCCCCGCCGGAGCCACGGCCCAACAGGAGCCCTGCAGAGCCCCGCCTCCGGCAGAGCTCTGCCCCCACAGACCCCTGCATGGCCCAGCCGACTGCATGCTGGTCTGTTCCTGCCCAGTAGGTTCTAGGGCAACCTGGACTAGTATCCACCCCTTGCAGTCACGTTCCCACTAAACTCTAGTGACCAGAGGCTTGAAGCGCCCCGCCCACAAAGCACGGCCCCGCAAGTCTCGCCCCTTCAGGAACCACGCCCTACAGCCATGCTGAAATGCACCTCGGTCAGGGCCATGCTGAGCCACACCACACCCCACTGCAGAGCCCCGCCCCATAGCGCCATGCCAACTGCATCTATTGGCTGGTGGATCTGAACCTTATCCTAGACTGGGACCCGTCCATTGGAGCCACGCCCCCACAGAGCCACCCCTGCTTCCGCTGGCATGGTTGTGGATCTGAGCTGCAGCCTGTGCCCCAGAGAACCTAGCCCTTTAGAAGTGCCTGGTCACCACCCGAGCCCTGCAGTCACTCTGCCACACCAGAGAAACACCGTGTCAGAAACATGCCCCTGTAGGTTGTATTCCATCTGACTTGTGCTTGTCATTGCCACGCCCCTACCACAGACCCGCCCCGTCAGGTGGGTGGCTTTGTATGGTGATGCGGTGTGGAGTCGGTTTCATTTTCCTTGGTGTGGCTGGGGGATAACTAATTGCTAGTCAGCAGTTCAAACCCACCAACCGCTCCCTCGGAGAAAGACGGGGCTGTCTACTGAGGTACAGATTTACAGTCTAGAGAACCCTATACGAGGGGCACAGTGAGTGGAGTCAACTCAATGGCAGTTGGCTTGGGGGAGTAGGCCTTCGTGATAGGAGCCCAGGTGGTGCAGGAGGTGGCGTGTTAAGCAGACAGCCTCAAAGTCGAGGGTTCAGGGCTGCCGGCTTCCTGTGTTCTTCGGCCTGCCCCTCCTTGTTTTAGTTACAGGGCCCAGAATCAATGTTCATTCAGGCATCAGCCCCACTACCTGTGAGGTCTCTCCAGATGACCTGGAAAAAATACCTAGTTTGTTGATTTTTCTAATTGCCCAGTTTTTATTTCATGCAGAAGGAGTTTGCTTTCTCTTTGCTTTTGCTACACGTCTTAGATAGCTTCTCCAAATAACACTACCTAGAGCAGTGGTTCTCAACCTTCCTCATGCCACGACCCTCTAACACAGTTCCTCACGTGGTGGTGACCTCCAACCATAAAATTATTTTCATTGCCAGTTCATAGCTGTAATTTTACTATTATTATGAATCGTCATGTAAGTATCTCATATGCAGGGTGTATTTTCATTGTTACAAATGGAACATAATTAAAAATAATTAAAGCATAGTGATTAATCACACAATGATATGTAATTATATGTTGTGAAATATTTATGTGTTTTCCGATGGTCTTAGGAGACCCCTGTAAAAGGATCGTTCAACCTCCAAAGGGGTCTCGACCCACAGGTTGAGAACCGCTGATCTATTAGGACCTGACAGGCCACATGGCCGGTTCTTGTTGGCAACCCAGTCGGGTCCTGAGGGTGGGAGCCCTCACAGCCTCGGTGGGTGGGAGCTGCTGGGGACGCAGCTCCCTTTGAGGAGAACGCCGAAGCAAAGGGGACCACTGTAATGCCTTCATAGAGTCTCATTGATACAGGGAAGGGTTACTGTATCCCCCTCCCCGGCTTTGTCCATTCCTCCGATGGCGGTGCCTCATTCCTGTGAATGAAACAGCAGACTGGCATGGGAGTCCACCAGTCTGCTGGTGGTGTCCCCTGCAGCCTGGCTCTGGGACAGTTTCCATCCTGACCAGGTCATCTGATGCCAACCAAGTGCCCCGAGCAGTGCTGAGTCTTTGTGTTGCTTCCCTCTTGATAAGACTAAGGCTACTGGTTTAACGTGGAGCCCTGGTGACACAGTGGATAAAGAGTTCAGATAACCAAAACCTTAGCAGTTCGAACCCACCAGCCTCTCCAAGGGAGAAAAATGCAGCAACTGCCTCTGTAAAGCTTACTTACAGTCGCGAAGCCCTTTGGTGCAGCACTGGTCTGCCCCGTGGGGTCTCTGTGGGCTGGGCTGGGTTTGCTTTTACCTTTCTAATGTCTCCGATTTCCTTTCTCTGCTTCCCCCTGTCTACCTGGGTGGCCTAGTAGTTACTGGTGGTTAGCAGTTTGAAACCACCAGCTGCTCCTCATGAGAAAGTGAAGCTTTTCTAACCCCATAGAGAGTCACAGTCTCATAAACCCATGGGGCAGTTGTACCCTTTAGGGCCGCTGTGAGTCGGGATGAACTTGCTGGCAGGGAGTTTGATTTTGGGTGTGGTGTGTGTGGCGAGAAGCTTTGAGGACGGCAGCCTGCTTGGAAATAAAAGGCACAATTAAATTGATCACCAAGAGTGCTTTCCGTCCAGTGACAACCATTTTCATGGAGTTTCAGCCCCTCTTGTCCCAGAGGCGATGAGGCTGTTGGCTTGGAGTCCGTGCTGGTTTGGGGTAGGGTCTGTTGGCTGGGGGCATGTCCTCTGCTCCCAGTCTGGCTTCTGGATCGAGTTATCATTGAGGGGAGGGCTAGAGGCTCTTACTTTCTGAACTGAGGATAGATGGTGTTGATCAAATGGAGGCTGCATTTTCCGTTGATGAATTCATTCCAATCATAAATGCATTTTTAGGTCAGCTGCCTTCCGGTCGCCCTGGTAATCTGAATACCAGATTTGTCACTCAAATTTGTCATTCCCACAGTTCCTTTCCCACCGCTTAGTGTCATGTCCCGGGGTTCCCGAGGTGCGGGGCACAGAACAGGCTCCCTGTTTCATGGTGATGATGGGTCTGCTGACAGGCAAAGAGGGGGCCTGGGGGCGCAGTTGTTGGAATGCCTGGCTGTGAATCTACCAGCCACTCCTGGAGGCGAAGAGGCCTGGCCATCTGGTCTTGGACAGCCCACAGCCTGGGAAGCCCACAGGATCACTTCTCTGTCCCAGAGCGTCCCTGTGACTCAACACAGTGGGTTTGTTTGGGTGCACAGACAGGGAGGTGGGGGTGGTCAGTGTTAATGGGGCTATTTTACCCCTGGAGCCCTGGTGGTGTAGTGGTTATGTGTTGGGCTGTTAACCACAAGGTCAGCAGTTCAAGCCCCCCTCCCCCCTACCGCGCTGCAGGAGAAAGATTAGGCTCCCTGTCCTCATAGAGAGCCACAGTCTCTTCAACCCACAAGGGCAGTTCTACTCTGTCCTATAGAGTCCCCATGAATGGGAATCACTGTAGGGCAGTGGGTGAGTTCTATCCCTCTGTTATTTGAATGACAAATTCTGTATTCAGATTACCCCTACTCACCTCTGAGAACCTCCCCTTCCTGCCGGAGAGAGGGTGCTCCCCAACCCACCCACCCACCCACCCTGTCCCAGCATGTCTACCTCAGCATCTGCCTGGGGTGCAGAGCAGAAAGATATCAGAGCATCTGGCTCTGTCATGACACCTGGCTCACCTGTCCCAGCCCTGTGCCTGGGGGCAAGTCCCATAGCCCCAGTTCTTCTTAAGGGGAGGACCCTGTCAGACACACACACACACACACACACACATGTGTGTGTGCGCCTGACCTGGAGGAAGCAAAGTTATTATGATGACTATCAATGTGGCTTCTTCGTTTTATGACCGTTCCTTAGGGTTATGATTATGACCGTTGTCACTGGTGAGTTTGGGTGTTCAACCACCATTTTTAAATGGATGGAAAAATAAGATAGTTTTTTATTTCCTTGGAAAAATAGCTGGGTGGTGAGATGCGTATACTCTCGTTGAAGGTAGCAAGCACACAACTTGGGATTCTCAGGCAGATGATTCTTTATTGGGGAGGGGGGGACTGCTCTGTACATGACAGTGGGTGGGACAGCAGACCTGGTCTCTACCCCCAAATGGCAGGAGTGTCACCAGCCATTGCCCTGAGGCAGTTGATTGTGTGGTGGCTTTGAGTCGGTTCCGACCCATAGCGACCCTGTGCACAACAGAACAAAACACCGTCCCGACCTGCTCCATCCTCGCAGTTGTTCTGTTTGAGCCCCTCACTCCGAGCCGCGGTGTCAATCCATCTAGTCCGGGACCTGCCGCTCCTTCACTGCCCCTCTGCTTCACCAAGCAGGATGTCCTTCTCCAGGGACTGGTCTCTCCTGAGAACACATCCAGGGTAGCTGACTCTCCTGGTGTCTAAGGAGCACTCTGGCTGTTCTTCTGGACGCCCACGGGTACTTTCCACAAATTTCCTCTGGCCTAGTCCACATTTCTAGGCACCCTAGAAGGGACAGGTGTGGGGCAGTACGTCTAAGCCGGCAGACCCTGATTGCCACTGAGTCGATTCCGACTCATTGTGACCCTATAGACAGGGTGGGTTTCCGAGACCGCCGCTCTTGAGGGGAGTGAAAAGCCTCATTTTCCTCCCATGGAGCGGCTGGTGGTTTCCAACTGCTGACCTTGCTGTTAGCCCCCAGAGCTCCCTGCTACTCCAGAGTTAGGCCGAAACAGTGGGTTTCTTTCTGTCTCTTCTATATGTGGTATTTTCCCAAGGACCCTATAGGCGCAATGGTGGAGCACTTGGCATCTAACCAGAAGGCCAGGGTTTGAACCCACCAGCCTCTCCTCAGGAGAAAGATGAGGCCGTCTACTCTTGTGGAGACTTACAGCCTCAGGAACCTTCTATGGGGTCAACATGCATCCGGATACACTGGGTAGCAGTGGGACCCGTGATCCAAGGAAGCAGGTCCCTAACTTATCATGCTGTCTTCGTCAGAACGGCCTCTGTCTTCCAGAGTGTTTGCATTGAGAACATTTGGGGGCCTGGAGCAGCTGTCCCTCTACTTTCCCATTAGCATTTGAAAAATGTCTCTTCCCAGCCTTGCTCATTAAGATTTTAATTTTGCCGTTTGTTCCCTTTCTAAGTGGCATGCAATTCATTAAGGTTTAGTGTGTCATCTATTTTTGGCCGTGACATTTTTACTGTCCGCACCACCCTCCCTTTGTTGCACTCGGTGTATAAATTGTACGCCAGCGAATGAGTTCCACCCTGATTTCCATTTCCAAATAATTACCACTCTGCTAATAGGCCGATTCTCGAACGTGCCATGCACTTAAGGGCATCACCAGGAGGGTGCAGGTGAGCCAGGGCATCCCCCAGCCAAGGGTCCTTCACTTATTGATGGATCTGTCTCTGTGTGTCAGGCGCCTGGTCTGTGTGAGATGGCAAGGAAGAGGCTGGGGGTGACAGGGTCCCCTGGAAGCCACACACGAGATAATTGCCCTAATTCTCCAGGTTGCTTTGCCAGTGACGTTGGACTCAGAATGATTTTCAGCTGTCTGGGGGGGTGTGTGTGTGAGTGGACTGAGATGAATCATAGGACACTCGCTCACCTGACCGGTGTGTCACAGAGAACACCTGCTTCCGAGGGCATCTTCCTAGCTGTGTTCCCGGAGACAAGCCCCAGAGTGCTGCAAACAGTTCAGTGCTGGACCACTCACCGAGTGGTTGGCGATTCCCACCCACTCGGTGGTGCAGCTGAGGAAAGGCCTGGCAACCTGTTTCTGGATGAGTCTTAGTGGGGAGCCAGTGGCCAGGCCTTTCTTCCCAGAGATTCTGGGTGGGTTTGAACTGCTCACCTTCAGATGAGCAGCTGAGCGGCGCCCATGCTCACCAGCCACAAACCTCAGCCTCCCCATAGCCCAGCTAAGAGCTCTCTAGGACCTGTGAGTTCAAGTTGAAGTTTGCAGTTGTGGGGGACAGGGGGAGGTGGGGTGGTGGGCCTACTAAGGTTGAGGTGAATTCTGGGAAGACTTCCAGCAAGAGGCCACCCTGCTAAGGGTCAGAGATCTGGCTCAGAGGCCAGCTCTCCTGTCTCCCAGTTGTTTGTCCCTGGCCAGGTGCCTGGGCTGCTGTGACGGCTCTGTTCTGCACTAGATACACAGCGCACTCGAGTCGATGCTGACTCACAGTGACCCTGCAGGACAGGGTGGAAGTGCCCCTCTGGGTTTCTGAGACTAGAACTCTTCACGAGAGCAGAAAGCCCCCTCTTTCTCCCTAGGAGCAGCAGGTGGTTTCCAACTGCTGACCTTGAGTAACCACTATGCCATAGGGCTCCCTTCTGGAAGGAGCTTTGATTTAATGCAGGTCTCTTCTCCAGCAGAAGTGTGTGGTGTGTGTGTGTGTGTGTGTGTGTGTGTGTGTGTGTGTTGAGGAAATAAGACTAAAGAAGCCCACAGCCTGACAGCAGTGACAGACCCTTCCCCAGCCAAGCTCCCATGAGAGAAGTGAGAAAGGGAAAACCCACTGCAGTGGGTCAATGCCAACTCATAGCAACCCCATAGGACACGGTAGCACTGCCCCTGTGGGTTTCCGAGACTGTAACTCTTCACGAGAGCAGAAAGCCTCATCTTTCTCCCTGCGAGCGGTTGGTGGTTTTGAACAGCAGACCTTGTGGTTAGCAGCCCAAGGTGTAACCCTCTATGCCACCGGGGCACCTGAGGGAAGAGAAGGGTCTCACACAATGCCCTGTGAAATGGGAGCCACGGGCATCCTGACTGGAAATCTGAGGACCACATGGGACATGGAGTTTATTGTTATCGTTAGACTATTCTAGAAGCATCCTTCTTGGGCTCACTGGGTGCCTCTGCTGTCTGTGATCTCTGCTTGGCTTGGAGTCAATGGAATCATATTTCCTTTTCTAACAGCAAGTCTTTGACCCCCTGAAACAATAGCCCTGAGGTGATCTTTAACCGTTAAGCCAAATAGTAGCCCCTGAAGTTGTCCCCAAACCAAATAGACTGGTGACGGACCAATTAGGAATGGCAGCCTTGAGCACTATGCGCTTTTGAGCTCAAACTGCCAGCAGTCAAGTAGGTAGGAGGCTGCGGGGCAGTGGGTTTGTGTTCACAGGGCAGTGGGGAGATGGGGGGAGACTGGGTGCACACTTTGAAGATTCCGTTTACAAGTAACATGCTGGCCCGACAAAACAGGAAACACAACCCACTACCATGGAGTCGGTTCCACCTCACCACCACCCTACAGGACAGAGTAGGCCTGGCCCTGTGGGTTTCTGAGACCCGCACTCTTAACGGGAGCAGAAAGCCTCCTCATTCTCCCACAGAGCAGCTCCTGGTTTTCGCTATTGATTTTGTGGTTAGAAGCCCAGTGTATAGCCCACTCCACCACCAAGGGGCCTGTTCTCATGCTTAGTGACCCTGTGGAGGGCTCCAGAGGCTGTCGATCCTTTCAGGAGCAGACATGCCTGTCTGCAGTGGCTAACCACCAGCTCCACCAGCTGGAGCTGTAGAAAGTGCATAGCCTCATAGGAAAAGAGCAGGAGAGTGAGTTGATTTGCGTAAAAATACTGTCATCAGGGCACTGAATTGCAGCTTCAGGATGTGCAGCATCAGGGTATGTTTTACTGTACATACTCTCAACCGCCAAATGAAAACAAGGAATCTGATACAGGTGTGGAATCCAGGAAGTTTTTTTTTTTTTAATCTCGGAGAGCTATGGGATCACGCGGTAGGTGGTGTGTGACATCGAAGCCCATCTGCGATCCTTGCACGCTGACCAGCCCCGGGAGGCAGCGCTGGCAGCAAGGGGTGAGCCAGGACTAGGTTGAAGGGTCTTTGCTTTGCTGCTCGCCTTTCGTTCTCTGCCTGTGAGGCAGCCAGTCATGTTGCCCCCCACCCACGCCTGTGTGTGTTCTCTCTGTACAGGCGCAGACGTCCATGCGAGGGACCCCCGGCGTGGGATGTCGCCGCAGGAATGGGCCGCCTACACGGGGCGCGCGGAGGCGGTCCGGCTGATCCAGAGGCTGCTGGAGCGCCCCTGCCCGGAGCAGTTCTCGGAGAAGTACAAGCCGGAGCTGCCGCGGGTCCCAGAGGCCATCCTGAAGCACGCCGCCTCCAAAAACTGCTTGCAGCGGCTCGCCGCGTTCCTGCGGTCCACTCTGACCCCCGGCTCGGACCAGGGCCCGCAGGACGGCGGCGTCCTGGACCACATGGTCAAGATAACCACGAGCCTCTACAGCCCGGCCTTGGCAGTCGTCTGCCAGACGGTGTGCCCGGGGGACCCCCCGTGCGTGGGGAAAAGACGGCTGCGCACCCCGGCGGAGCGGAACAACGATGCCCAAGACCGGGACCAAGGAGAGGGCCCTGAGCCCCGATGCCGGACCTCGCAGGCCAGGGAGGACTCCAGCGAGGGCTCCCCGAGAGCCAGCCTACTGTCGCCCCCCCGGGCGGGGGCCCAGGTGTCCCCGGCCTTGCGGAAGGCCAGCCTCCTGCCCCTGCAGCTGCTGAGAC